GATCGGACTACAATTGTAATCCACGCGCCTAATTATGTAACATTTTTTGCCGAGTGCCCAATTTGGAAGTTGGTCTGTTGGAACACTGAGATAAGTTTTATAATTCCAAAAAACAAATCTTAATTCCATACAAAAAATTTATCTTTGGTTCATTTTAAAATTTGCATTGAATTTTATGACTTTTTTTGTAGTGCAAATTGAAACGATTTCGGGTTTCAGTGTTTCCATAATTTAGCATTTACCTTATGTTTTGTATTTGGCTTTTTTCGCATATCTAAAAATTTAACTTTGTTTTATAGGCAATCTTAAGGCTATTCACTATAAACAACAAAAATTTCACTATATAGAATTGTATGTTGTTTTACATGGAAATTGAAATGTCTGATGCAAAAAAGATACATTCCGAACATAGCACAGATCCTGGTGTTGTGTTTGCATTAAATGCTTCCGTGAGCTTTCTAGTGCAGAGGAAAGTTCCATGGATGAGGAAGATGAAGATAAGCTTAATTTTTTTATAATTTCGAAATGATTGCTTGGGAGCTAGTAAAACCGCAAATTGAACACCGATTACTAATGTGTCAAGAGAAGTTGAGCGTCGAGGACGGCATCTACTTGCTATAAGAAGAGATTTTACAGCCTCCACCACCCGATATGCCAGCAAATTGCTTTCGGTAAAGTCCACAAGAAAAATTTGCCAAACACGTAGTAAATATGCATGCAAGTATCATATGAGAGATGGGAGCATCGCCTGTTTGGCAGAGAGAAATATGTTCCATATTTGACTTGTATTTCTCCGTTTATATCCTTTTATATTTCTCCACTGTTTAGTTTGTATTAAGTATAAGTCTATTATATTATTTATCAAAATAAAAATGGATTTAGTTTAGCTATTTTTATTGCATACTTTGAACTTGCAATAATTTTTAAAAACCTTCTATTAAACGGCTCAAAACAACACGCAATGCCTGTTTTAGTTTTTCTTCATAAAATGTAGATAAAACATATATCAAAATATATTTTAGACGTATAAAATAATATAAATAAACATTTATTGGGAACAAGTATAATTTTTTTTTTTGAATAAAACATTATAGCAACTAAGTTGGACTACCATTGTAATCACGCGACTAACCGCGTGAGTAGAATCCAAGCGCCTAATGGAGTGTTAAGGGTGTCAGGCGTATTGTGTGTATAAAATTTAGTGAAGTGGTTTTCGAGATACACATTTGCGGAAGATTTACGGGCCTTTACGCGTTGGCGACGGTGAGTACCGCAGACGATAGAACGATGAGCTGTATGAGCTTTACAACGATATGGACATAGTGCAGTGAATTAAAATACAGCGGCTCCGCTGGCTGGGCCATGTCGTTCGAATGGACACCGACGCCCCAGCTCCGAAAGTATTCCACTCGGAACCCAGAAGTGAAACGACTTGTTTAACTCGGCCCAAATCGCTTATAAGGTTACAGCGCTAAATAATAATAAGGAGACGGAAAAGAAGACAGGGCGGTTCCACGACCAATTTCCAAAAAATGTGTGAAAAACTAATAAATTTTGAGTAAATATTATATGAAAATATATATATATATATATATCATATGAAAATCCTTTACATACACACATATACGTTCGTGGTCGTATTTTTTCCCCCCTCAGTTCGCCATTAAAATAGGGAAATTTAAGCCATTTTCGCAGACATATTTAGGCACTATTTGTATTATTACTTTATTTTTAAAGGCACATCGTAGTAGAGTATTATTTTATTATTTAGTATGTACATAAGTAATATGAAAACAAAAAATAAGAACAGTTAAGTAATTGCTGATACAAGTGATAAATATAAAAAAAAAATATTTTAAATAAAACCTTACTGAAAATTACGAGTAACAATTTTCAACTAGTTACAGTTTATTTTCAATGAGGGTCCAATAACACAAACGGCAATAACGCAAAATTTGCTTTATTTTACTTTTAAATGGGAAATAATACCAAAATCTGAGTTTTGCTTTATTTCCAACAAAGGTTGGAAATAAAACAAATTTTGCCTTATTTCCCATTGCTTATTTATACTATTTGTAACAAAAACAGTTTACTGACAGAAGGAAAAAAACTTTGTTTATTCCAAAAATACAATTAAACAAATATTTTTACTTATGAAAAGTCCAACAAAATAAAGGGAAAGCGTCGTCTTTAATAACTGCTCGGCAAAGTGGACATAGCGGNATTAAACAAATATTTTTACTTATGAAAAGTCCAACAAAATAAAGGGAAAGCGTCGTCTTTAATAACTGCTCGGCAAATTGGACATAGCGGTTTTGTATGAATTTTGTCTGCATGCTTTTTAATATGTTGAAAATATTGCTGGAAAACTTAAAAATGTTTACATGGAACCATGGCACAATAAAAAGGTGAAGTAATAAAACAGCTTTCACGCTTTATTTTCAGACATTCGGCTGCTTTATAGTCAAATTTTAAAAGCAATTTTTCATATGAGGCAGTGTCAAAATCTTTCTTCTCGCTCTAATTACTTCACCTGGTGTAAGGTGCGTTCGTTTAAAATCTCCAGTAAAAACCAACCAACTGCCAAATTCCGGCGAAATGTCATCTGTTCACTCACAAGAGAAAAATATCCCAAATAGTACGCGAACAGAAAATTTGCAGAAACTTGCAAGTTAGACGAACAGCTGATATAATTTTTATTTTTTACATTCAAAAGTGTAAAATTTAAAACGTACGAAAATTCTTAACAAAGTGTTATACTGACACAGTTTATTGATTAAACAAATAACTAGTTATTTCTTCCAAGTTTAATTAGTCGCATTTTGTAATTTTTAACTTCCAAACCACCACATTCAATTTTGTGATATGCGTAAATGCCAACCAGCTGTTTTTGATCAGCTGTTTTCCTGTTGGCAAATTGCTGTTGGCAAACATTTTTCCAGCAGAAACTAGCAGCTTTCCCTCAAAATGAAATGTCACTTTGCTCTCTCAATTTCCCCTACTTTGCAAGTTTTTTGCGTACGCGAACGCAAAAACTTGTAAGTTTTGGTTAAACATGAACAATTAACAGCTACGCGAACGCAACTATAATTCCGCCATGGCATGGCACCAACAAAAGGTCCGTATCCGAACTGTGGATTTCGTTTACGAAGACGGAGCGAGCATGTGGTACGAAATAGTGATGTAAAAATATGTACAATTTTACCTACTACGTATCCCCGGTACAAGCAGGTGGGATGAATGGCGTAATAAACAGGTGAACTTAAAAAACAGCTTCCCCGCTTTATTTTCTGACATTATGCTGCCTTATAGGCGACATTTTATAGGCAAATTTTCAAATAAGGCAGTGTTAAAATCTTTCTTCTCACTCTAATATTACTTCACCTGGTATAATTCCACCATGAATGGGGTGCATGCAATAACACCATACGCAATAATTCTCATTACTTGGACATTAAAAAGCAGTTTCGAAGTGAACTATTGTCATTTTATTTTTATTCCTTTTCTCGGACCGCCGCGACGCTGGGCACTTTCAAAATTGTAGACTTACAAATCCGTCCATTTAACTTGTTCATGTACTACTTTTTGTCAAATGTAACTGGGTGACTAACTACTTATGTGCACTTTTTTGCTTTATTACTCAATTGTTAAGTTTCAAAGTTGGTCTTATTGCTCAACGAGAAATGAAATAAAGCAAATTTGTGTTATTTCACATTAAATTGGGATATAACACAAATTTGCTTTATGGCCGTTTGTGTTATTAGGGAAACACCAGTAAGCAGTATCAGAGGATTGCTTTATGTAAATGGTGAAGTCAAATTCAAGTTGCGTCAAACCGACTGCTGGACATCATTGAAACAACAATTAGCTCTGTTATTACAGCAATACGAAACGGAGCTAGTGCAAGATGGTCCAAAAAAAATTTATCAATATAAACACAACAGCCTTAAAACAAACGTTAAAGCAATATTAACACAAAGATTTCGATTCGTTTTATGATAGTCTACCTCGATAAATACTTAGTTTTACATTTTTATGCAATTAACTTTGTTATGCAAATTTGCTTAATGTATACAAATGTGAAAGCATTTAATAAAAATTCAATTATACTTATTTATATTGAAATTATTTCTTGTATATACGAGCTTTCATTGGATATCACCCATCGAGACTTTGAAACAGGGCATTGGGTCAAGTTAATACGCTGACAGTTCGCTTCTTTGGCAATTTCATGGTTTGTACAAAATATGTGTCCACTCGCCACTTTGCATTAATTTTTATCTAATAAAAACGCTTCTGACCATTTTTCATTACATAACAGGAGCAACGGGCAGTTAACTAATCGAGTCCTCAACTTCTATACATTGCATGTATGCCTAACAGCGGTATTATGTACAAATTGCATACGATTCCACACCGCCAAAGGAAATTTAAATCGTGTATAATGTGCTTTAAAGCGACGCAAATGTTGATTACGTTGTAATTGGTCACAAAATTCTGTTTCATAAATCAATAACATATTTTTAATAAATTTTTTTTTACGAAATTTGCAAAATATTGCCTATTGGCACCAGTAATCAGTTTTTTTCTCTCCTGAAAAGTTATTAAAAAACACTTAACGATATGTATTTTTTCAAGGTCTAATGGAGCCATACGTAGCTGTGGAAATGTCTGGTCTAATGCATAGGATTACTATTTGCCATGACTTTTTTTCAAGATGAGAAAACACCATTATAAGAGGGCAACTTTTTGTAGAAACTAAAAGAGAGCCGTTNCTAATTTACTCAAAATTGATACACCCCGGCTTACCATCTAGCGGAAGGTTTCGGAAAGGTGAAAAAACATATTTAATACTTGCGCCGGGTATTTAAAGTTCGGCTCCGCCCGAACTTAGACTTTCTTACTTGTTAAAAATGAAAATGGCAATATAAAAATAACAAAAAATTTAATAAGGTACAACAATACATAATTTTTTTTTTATCAAAATGACCCATATTTTTTATAAAAGTAAAACGACATTATTAAAGTTAAATAAAAAGTGAGTAACAAAACCCACGGTTAGGAGATTTACCCATGTACATATGTAGGATTGTAGTTTTCGTATTGGAATTCGTATCCTGCGCACAGAATGAGAGTTCATCCTCGTCGGCACCGCTATCGTCGGCGTCGTCGTTGTCGCCGCTATCTTGCCATTTGCCGTCGCTATTGAGACATATGTATTTGCCAACTTGGCATTCATTCGTAAACGTTCATTCGCCAGAGGCACGACAAATTATCCAATTCGAACGGTTGTTGCGGCGGTTTGCGTTGTCGACTGCCAACAGCATTGATTATCGCTGTCGTCATCGTGGACGTCACAGTCGTTGTTTTCGACGCGGTTCCTGTCATCGGTAGCGCCGCGACCGCTGCCGCTGCCACCACACATACGCATTGTTGGCGTTCATTTTGTTGCCTTCATCATTTTTGTGGTTATTGTCGACGCAACATATCGTTGTTGTTTTGTTTTATTTTCACAACCATACTCTGATCTGTACTGGTAAATATGTTACTATTGTTGTAGCTACATATGTACATCAGTGCGGTGTCCTTTGTCTGTGGCTTTGAATATGTGTGTGTACACGTATCTGTGTGTTTGCTTTCATCCCCTGCTGTTTGCGGATACGAGATGCAGATAGTCATCACAACGAGATACGCTGATGCTACCACCAACCATTGACGAGCAAAAGTGCCGTTGCTGTTGCCGTTACCGTTTCCCTGTAGGCTTTTCCCATCCACAAGCACACACATAACTAACGTTATTATTTAGTCATCATCCACACCATCCTCATCGAACACATCCCGGTCCATCCCCTCGTTAACCACTGTGGCGCGCATTCAAGCGAGTCGCCGAGTGAACAAACACATCCCAATTCGAACATCCGTCGCAACATCCCAACCGAGCCATTCAAATATCAAACAAAAAAAACATTTATTCGTTCTGTCTGTCCGTATCCGTGTCCGTGTCCGTGTCAGTGCTCGCATCCGTTAGCTTCACTTCACTTTGCTTTGGTTTAGTCTTGCGGAGACAACCGGCAGACAGACAACATACACAAAACACTCAACGCTCGCAGGCTCTCATTTCGATTTCGACTTTGCATTCGCCTTTGACGAGTCTGACTGACTGACTTCGGCAAATCGATTACATATTCAAGCGCTTCGGTCTGTGATTTTTTAAGCGGTGCTTGACGCGCATTTTCGCTGATTGATGTCCGCATCAGCGTGAAAAAGTGTATAAATCGTTTTAGTGTTTTCGTGTAGTATGACTTAATTGTGGAATTTTCTTTCACTAGAAAGTGTAAATTTTAGTGCTGAATTCTGTAGAAACTGTATGGATGAAAGTGTCAATTAAGAAAACTGGATAAATAAAAGCTGCTGCTGCTGAGCTGGTCTGCCTCTACGCGAACGATACTATAATTTCAAGCCAAATTTATTTATTCATACATATTACACAGTAAAAGCAAGACTTCAGGAATATAGTGTGAATTTAAGCAACCTAAATAGTAAGTTACCTAAATGAAGAAATAATACAATTTTGCATAGAAAAATATATATCTACATAATATAAAGACGCGATCTCAAAACTAAATAGCATATTGAATAATTTAATCTCAAAATTAAAATTAAATAAAAGAAAACCAAAGTGATCATTTAGTGATGTAAATAACTAAAAGAAATGAAAAATAAAATAAAAATAAAAATAAAAACATAAAATGTGTTATGTATTTAAAAAAAAAAAAAAGTGAATATCTGACTCAAAATATAAAATATTTATTCAATTAGAAAAAAATCTCGCCCATTTGCTCCAAAGTCAAAAAGATTCATAAAATTGTTTATATTTAAAAATATATTTAAATTTAAACCGATTTGAGAATGAAATATGTATATAATGAAGAAGAAAAAATAACCTGCGTCTAAATCTTGCCAATTTTCCATAGTGCCCAAATTTAACCGCTCAAACACAAATACCGACGGAAAGTGTAAAGTTCGTTTGGGGCAAACAAATTTATGAGTTCGAAAGATTTAGTATAAAAACAAAAAATAACTGAAATTCTTGGACTGCGCTTTGCCGGCTTTAATATGATGTTCGACCGCTGCGCTGTATCAGGTATGTTTGCGAATAGAAAAATTACTCAACTCAAAAGTATACGTTTGCAGGAAATACGAAAAATTAGTTTTTAGAACATGCTTATCATATGGGTAAGGGAGACTTTATCTTAGGTTTTTCAACAAAAATTTGCTTTTCCTGAAAAGTAAATAAAAGCTCTGTGTACATTTTTAGTGCATAATTTTAAAATTGACAAATTACGAATTGTGCCACTTTTGTAGATCGTTTGCGATAAGTAGCTATTCAAGTAACTAAATTTATAAAATAGCCATTTGATGCACTGTTTTCTGATCAATGTACTTGCTAAGCAAATGCAGACATATAAATAGTACTACTGTAAATAACTGCTCTGCGAAATTCGACGTGATAAATATATTTGAAATCAGATACAATTATTTTTTCTAAAAACAAACGAATTTCTAGTTTGGAGATTAGAGCTAGGTTAGATCTGATCGACCTCCAATTCACTGAAAATCGATGCTTGCAATAATGGGCCTCATACATAAAAAGTGAGCTTAAGTTCCGACTCGATTTTCAGTACACATTCTTGAGTTTGAGCTCACCTCATCAGTGCAAAAATGGAGTCTGAGCTCTTGGCAGTCAATGAGATTATCATAAATTTTTAGGAAAATAGGCGTGACACCTCTTATGACTACATACTTGTATGTATCGGAACAGTTATTTCCCCTGGTACAAAAAAGCAAAGGGGTGAAAACTTTTGAAAACGGACTAAAATTATGCTCACTTTCCATATAACGGTAAATTTCAGAAACACGAAAACACCGTTATTTCTATAACTAAGGGCTCTAATTTACACCAAGTTAATATTTGCTGCAGTGATGTATTGTCTAGCAGTGCGCGCTACCATTACAGAGGGCCTGGGTTTTTTCTCAAGCAGTTGCCACTTGCCACCTCCGACTGTATTTCTGCAATGAAAAACCGCTTCTCATAAAAATATAATCGCCGTTCGGAGTCGGCGTAAAACTGTAGGTCCCTCCCCTTTGTGAGACAACATCATCAAGTCGCACGCCACAAATCGGACGAGAAGCTGGGCCAAACACAAACATGTTGTGTAAGCGCCAATCTAATATTATATTAATATCTACTTACAGCTGTGGCTCAGTGGTTAGAAGTGCATATTACCACTCTAAACTAGGAAAACTTTTCTAACAGTTGTGACCCATTCATACCGAATTTTAAGCGATGGTAAACAAAGCAGGCCTGATTTGTACTTACATATACATATATCTGTTGAGTACACCGGCACATAAAAAAAGCTCCCACTTGGTTGGTTCTCTTCCTTGCGAGGTATCTAAAGACCTCTAGGTGGTCTCATCGTGGGATTATAAAATAAGCTTATCTTGCCAACACTTTTGGAAAGATCAGGGAAATAACTACATTTTGCAGGGAGGCAAATGATCACCCTTTAAAAGACAATTAAATTTCTGGATTACCTCTGTGGAAAAGAAAAGCACTGAATGTTTTCCACTTTTATTACCAAATGAAATGTGAAATGATAAATCTCCTGAAACCTTTGTAGTGATATCGATTGGGTACAAAATCAATTTACGAAATATTCATCGATCTTGAGAGTACCATGATATTGAAACACACAATTGTGTCTGTGTCTCTGACTGAGTTTTGGGTTAGTGTCAGGAGTGAATACCATTAAGAAGTCAAAAAGACTATCTTAACTTTGCTTCGTTTTGTCACAGCGTATCGTTGTGAAACAGGCTTTTCAACGTATACTTATACAAAAAAACAAATACAGGTCGAAATTGGAAGCCAACTCAGAAATGCGCATAGGTAAAGCTTTCAGACATAATACCGAACTATAAAGCAATAACTAATAAACCAGTGAAACATTTTCATACTTCACATTAAAAGTTAAAGGATGTATACTACTTCTAGTAAAACTTTTAAATGGAGTGCCCTTGATTTTTAGCGTTTTGATGTGGGGTTCGATGAAAAAGAAAGGTATTTAGTGTGCGTTGTATTGTCTTAAATTTAATAATTAGACCAGATTCCGAGTTTGTGTAGGCGAATTCTTAATCTTCCATGACCGGTAAGTTACTTATTAGAATTCTAACATTTTTTTTTTGATATTGCATAGCTGGACGTTTCCTTCGAAGGTAGTAATTCTACTGATATCATCCCGTGGGAATTGGGTTTCGACATAACTACTACGGACATACATAACTTCCACCCAACCGTGACATAGGTTCCATAGAAGTAAAGTCTGACATTACTTCGACAAGTTATATTAAATGACCCGCTCACAGCACAAATTGATGAACACCAATTTTTAAAAAATCTGAAACTTTAGTGCCGGTGCAAAATTAGGTATTTTCACTTAGAACTTTTCGAAAAGATTGTCAATGTTCCAATATCCAAGACGATCTATATGAGAATATTATGTTTACCAATTCTTCCACGAGATAAAATGATGGATGGATATATGATTTTGGTAGCACAAGCGATGAATTTCAATTGTTTTACATTAATGCAACCAATTTTCGAATATTTTCGAAGCCGTTGTTTGAAATCGGTGAGTGGAACTTTATGGCTTATCAGGTTCTTTTCAAATTTTGTGATTTATTTGTGGAAAATGTTGAATGAACTGTCAGGTTTCAGTTTAAAAATGCGCACCACTTCAGCTTTAGAAAGCTAATGCTGCATAGGGAAAACGTTTTCCTATTAACCGGAATTTTTTCCGCTTTATTTCGCTTCTAATCTCAGAAGAGGATGCTATTTCTACCGAACTTTTGCTAGTTATAAATGATAGTTATCAGCCACCGGTCAAGAAACCGAAGAGTTTGGTGGAATTCTAAAATCGATAAGGCCTCCAAGTTATTGTTAGAGGACCAAATAAATATCGAGCAATTTTTATCGAAGGTGACTTTAGAAGAGGTAATCGAGCAAACTTCATTAGACGAATTGGACATTGCAATTGAGGACGAATTGGATGATTACTTGATCGAGTTTTCTAAGGAAAATTGTATATGTATATGGAAATGTATATGTTACCGGCTAAACCCCATTTCCTAGGCTAAACTAGTTCTTCCCAGCTCCGTTAATCCGTCCAACGCGGAAACAAGTTGGACGCAACAATTTAGTGGACTACGTACCTGGAGTTGGACTGATGAGGGTTATTTTTTGAAGCGCGGCCGAAGGCCGCCTACGCGAAAAGGTGTTCTACGCAAAAATACTGTGGCGCTTCTTCATTAGACTAAAATTGCATACCCAAAAGTTGTCTAAGAATCAGATTAAAATGTTGAAATTTTGATGAGAATTTGTGGAATTTTCCTAAATTTTGTATAGAGTTTGTAGCTGTGATTTATGTGGTTAAAGCACAGTATTTTTTTATAGAAAAATAACAAAAAGAATTAGCTCGAAAAACATTACAAATATTTAAAAAGAAATCAACACGTGGTCATTTGTTTGAGTCACGTACTTAGATTTTCTCTCTGACGTCAGGATTTTTTTAAAAGGACTTTGGAATTAAAAAATATTAATATTTCAATTTTTTTTTAATTCAGTGCAATGTAGTATAAAGATAAGGGTGTCAAATATAAGAAAAAATTTTGTAGAATTATAACAGAATAAATTTTTTGATGCATAAAGACGAATGGGTACAGAAAATGTCCTTTAAAAATTTTTTCCTTAAAAATCCTTGAAAAGTTGCAAGATTTATTTTTGAAAAAATTATTGTTTGAGGACTTATATATGTACATACGACCACATCATCGAATTTCGTCCTGCAAACTTTATTGACTTGAAAAGATAAAATTTATTAAAAGCGCATTTTCAATACCTATTCCTCCTTGTTCACCAAAAAATTTTATTGTTTTTAAATTCAACAGAATTTTCTGTTTCATTTGGTACCCATAATGCTATTCTACATTGCACTAATTTAATTAAATAATTTTTTGAATTAACAATATCTTTAGAATTTCAAAGTCCTTTGAAAAAAAATCCTGACGTCAGAGTGAAAAACTAAAAACGCCGTTTTAATGTTTTTAGCCCATAGTTTCGTGAGTATATAGATTCTTTCGTGTGCTCTGAAATGTTTTTGCTTTTGTGGCACAGTGTTATTCATAGTTCTGAAATTTATTTCATGAAAGCAAAAAATAAAAATAGTTGACATCACTTTCTTTATTAAACACCTAGGATATCACTGACCATTATAAAGGACACTGAATGAAGGCAAAGCCCAAAGTTCTACATATTTGTTGATGTGATTTTCGAAATGAACGATACAAAATTAGCCGGTATACATATTATAAAATTTTTATAATTAGCGGTTGAAATTTTATATTGAAACGGTTAAGGAAGCTTTAGATTAAAAGTGTGATACTAAATGCCTTTCACCATAAACGGCGCAAATTTTCTGGGTTATCAAGCCTCTAGCAGTACAAGATTAATTGTTGTCTTTCACGAAGTTCTTTAAATAAATCTTCAACTAAATACTGAAGTATATTTACGAATATCACGTTTTATTATACGCTTAAATTTAATCTCTTAATTTTAGTAAGTATTTCTTTACTGCATTCATCTGAATTTGGGGGGTTACTACTAGTTTTAAAAAATTCTCAGTTTAATTTCTTATAAAATTTACCCTTAAGTTTTTGCATCTTAAGCATGCATCGAAACTTTGTTTTAGAGAATCAATGTGAAATAATTGCAGAAACGATTAACCGATTTGCTGAGCAACCGAGACGTCTGCTTTTTAAATAATTTTTGTAAAACAAATCGGCAAATACATATCGTTCCCCGCATGCCATAAACATGAATGTGTAAAAATTAAAATTTTGGGAAATCAAGTTTGAAGTTTTTTACGAGACTTAACTCTGCATTCATGTAATTAACATTGTGAAATATATGCTTTCCATGTACGCATGGTATTCTGGCTTTTGGTATAAAATAGAACATCCAAAGGTTAATCAAGTCAACCCAATAACTCAATATTGGTAAATTTGCACATTCATGCTTCTGGCATA